GAATAGGAAATCAAGTGATTTTATTCAAAGAACAACTAATGCAAGATTTATTGACATAATTTAAAGCACGTGCTTTATTGAGCAATGAACTAAAATGAAAAAAAACATCTAATTTAATTGTATTCAAATGACCAAGTCTATGATGCCACATATGTTGTTGTTTATTAGAAATGAAAAAATCAGAATCCGATGGAGAAAAAAGATAAGCATGACAATTTAGGTTTTCAAACTCCAAGGCAAATAGATGACCAATTCTATGCCCATTCCCTTTCACTATCCCAATGCGTAGGTCCTGTATTACACAACCATTACTAGAGATTGAACATTATAACCATCATCAACAAGTTGGCCTGCAGATATTAGATTAACAGTTAATTAGGAATCAAGAGAATATTAGGTAAACAAAAAGGTACACCAGGGGAGACAAAGTGAGAGATTATCAGTACCAGTAATATTCAGTTTCTCCCCATTAGCTGTGAGAATCTGACTATTACTTTGGTATGATTTAGTGCATGATGGACTTACGTGCACTCTAGTCATATGATTAGAGGCATCCGAGTCAATAAACCATAGTAGAGAAAACCGAAGAGATAGTCGTAGACACAAAATTTTGTACCAGTTGTCGAGTATAATCTGCCAAAGCTGATGTTTGGGACCCTGCTGTGTTTGGGGCATGAATAGAATTTGTTGGAATGGTTTTTCACCTCATAACTATCATTAGTCCCTCTGATGCATCACTAGCAGATTGTATGCCTTGTAAAGAGGTTTCCTTATATCTGATGCCCTGTTACCTCGCAAAAGACGAGTTCGACACTCTATAATAATATACCTAGGATGTTTGCAATAATTACTAAAAAAAATTCTTCTTACAATGGGAGGCTATATGACCATATTCTTTATAGTCATAACTTTTGCAGCAAAGTTGGGTTCTTCTGTGGTGGCTTTCTTCTGGCTCGTTGAGCTACAAAGATAGACTGTATATTCTTCGTACCCTCAATGGCCGTCTATGTTGCAATTCTTATCTCCTCACGAAGTAACACACCCAGAATGACAACTATATTGGGCAATTTTTTGCGGTTCAAAAGATTGGCTTGAATGACCTCATATTTTAGGTACAATTTCATTTAGAATTGCATCACCTTCCTGTCATCATTTATCGCCTTTAAACTTGTAATGTAATAAGCACTGGTGATAGCCGTCATACTTATAGATTCATATTTGATCCACAAGTTCATAAAACCAACATAATATTCCTCGATGTTTTTCTCCCTCTGTCCATAGGTAAACATATCATACTTAGTTTGGAAGTGCCGTGCAAGATTTGATTGCTAATAAACCTTTTTCAGATATTCTCATATTTCTTTCGTACTCCAAAAGCCTCTCATTGGCCTTCCAATGTCCATATCCATGTTGCATTGTGGATTTTCCATTGCTGGGTTTCTTTAGCATTGGATGGATTACGTTGGGATTCAGTTCCATCAATAAACCCGCAAACCTTTTCCTTTAACAAAAAATTGAAAATGAAACCGCCAATTAAAAGAGTTTTTCCCATCAATTTTATGGGCAAGACATCTCCTTTTTCAGAAGCTATTTTCAAATTATATGAGCACTCTCGGATGTGATCAAGAACTTAGATCAGATATCAAAACTCAAATGCGATTTTTTTTTTCTAAAGCAAAGACAGTCAAGAAGGAGCAAAGGAAGTTAGAGAGAGAATCAATTAACCAAAGGAAGCGACAAAAAAGAACAAGATTCGAACCAAAGAACTACAGGAACCAAAGAAAAAACAACCGGATACTAGACCCCTCAATGAAATAAGAGAGAGAAACCAAGAAACAGAAATTTGCAAAAAGGACATGATCAAAGAACCAAAAGGATGGAATTTGCCAAGGGACGGAATTTTATTTGCAAAGTTTGCAACAAAATGGAATTGTATTTACAACAGTCAGTCGTTTAATTTGCAAAGAGATGAAAGTTACAAACCAATTGAAATTTGCAAGGGCCTTAATTTTTTTTTTTTTTTTGTAGGAAATCTAATCTCGGGTCCATGTTTTTGTTGGTGTAGTCTCTTAATTGAGGGTTCTTGGGGTGTCCGAGAATTGCTAGGGCATTTGGTGGGTCTACGAGTTTGTTGGTTTATCAATAAACATTATGATGACAGAGATGATGAAGAGTCTCTACAGTGCTGGACACTTGTTGTTTTGTTCAATTGAATGATTTTCAGGGTGAAGAGGGGTTCGTGTTTCTCAAATTGCTAATAAAAAGGTCGTTAATACTAAAGATGTAGAGACCAAGAAGTGTTTCTAAAGGTGATATCGATGTCCGGTCAAAAGCTGAGCTTGTCGATGAGAGATGGACATTAAAAAAATTGCAAGGGACGAAATTGAAGAAGGATTCAAAATGCGATCCGAAAATTCGAGAGAGAGAGAGAGAGCATATGGAACCTAGATTTCTTTGAGATAAAAGAGACCCAGATCTGAAGATGCACGAAAGCTTCTTCACCAGAAATTACCTTCATCGGAAAAATAGAGCTCAACCAAATAGCTTCTTCGCTAGAAATTACCTTTATCATTAAAATAGAACTAAACCGAATAGAGCTAATAAGTCAGAACGTTGCTCTGATATCATGTCAAACACACAAAAAGGCAGATGAATTATCTACCTCTATTGACTATTACTATGTATTTATAACAGAACCAGAAGTAACTAGCACCGCAAATTAACTTGCACAGCAAGATAAGTTACAAATAAGTAAAATACCTATGAAATATACACTTTCTATGACTGATATAATACCAGATCTTAAAAAATCTCAATAGTTCAAGGACTCATCCAAGTCATTTGGACTCGGTGTCGGCTCATGGCAAAGGCGAGTTCGAGTGCCCAACTAGCCCCTTGTTAAAAATTCTTAAAAAATCATATATTTTCTTAGAAAATACCAATATATGATTTAAAAATACATTTTTATATGATTTTTATAGTTTTTATTATGATTTGAGAACTTTTCTTATTATATGCTGCAATTTTTTATTTTCATATGATTTTTATAGTTTTTATTATGATTTGAGAACTTTTCTTTTTATATGCTGCAATTTTTTATTTTCTTTTTTGATTTTTATGAAATAATTCACAGTGGTAAATTCCATCTTTTAAATTATTTTATCATATTGTATAGACTTTTAATATTGTCTATTAATTATTTTTATTTTTTCTAGTTTTTAATTATTTTAACAAAACTTCTATTTCTTTTTTCTGAATTTTAAGCATATTTTGGGCTTTCACATGACCCTGTCAAGGCCACATGGACTTGGCTGAGTTGCTCATGCCAGGGCCGGGTTTGAGGCCTGAGCCAAGTTTGAAAACATTGTTTCTATACCTCTAATTGATATTGTATTGCATAGATCCAGCAACATATTGTTCAGTTTTCAGCCCTCCAATGTCCTTATTTTCTTGCTTAAATAGTCCACCAATATTCTATGCTCTAGATGATCCAATATTTGGTGAGCCCGATGTATTACCATGTGAAAGAAAAAGCACCAAAAGCTATCCATACGGGCCCAAAGTAACTTGAACCAAAGTAATAGAAATTTCGATCAAACTACATTGGTGCTTCCTTACTGTTGAAATGCAGAAAACAACCATTACCAGTTAACAAATTGTTCCATGTCATATCCAGGCATTTCCTATTTATTCTATTGATGATAAGAACTGGTGATAGGCATTAGGTTTTATATAGTCACTTTTTCATTGTTTTTCTGGTGTTACTAAAGGAAAATATTCACTTGACTATGACTCAACGTAGTTGATGTTTCTTTAAAACTAATGAATATTTAGAATATACAACCTGCCCATATCTGATGGCTATTTTGGCCTGATATACAGTGAATGGGGGTCCAAAAATTAGAGTATGAGCAGGTCAATGTGGGTGAGCCATATTATTACATAGAGTGTAGAGCCATATGATTACATAAGAGTGTAGCATTTTATTCAGTGATTCAAGAACCAGGGCCAGAAGGGGGAGGGTTAGGGGGGAGATCAGATCTTTGGGAACATCAGATCTCCCTAATTTTTATAACTCTCTTTTTTAGTCATATCTGTGCGATGATCAAACTAGTTGAACCCTTGAAAATTGCTAATCTGAAACAAATCGAAACCTAGTTCCCAAGCTTAAAACACTGATTCTATGCATAGTGGGCATATATTTTACATTGCAGGCCAAAACATTGATCGAAAAGGGAGCCAGTTTATTCCCATCTCTAATTGGAATTGTTGTGGAAGATTTATTAGATGGTTTTTGCTCATATATTAAAACCATTAGATATGCAATCCGTTCCCCTTTGGCTTGAAACTTGGGGCATTTATGACCTTTCTGCCCCCCACAGAGGCCTTTCACCAGCAACTAAGAGTCTCCCAAAAGTAAAACACACGAAATTGTGATTCTAACACTATCTGTTTAAGATTGTCAAAGTAAAACACACCAAATTGTGATTCTAACACTATCTGTTTAAGATTGTCAAAGTAAAACACACCAAATTGTGATTCTAACACCTTAAATTGATCTGTTTAAGATTGTCTAAAACATTAATCACAGATAATAGTAGCTCTGCCAAGAAAGAAGCATGCCCCACACCAGGCTCAAACCTTAGCATTATGGTCATGCCTAGGGATAGTTTATACGACGCGGTTACTATATGAGCATATCAGCATGCCTGCAAGAGCTAACTACCTTCCGACCTGTCTTTCAATTCACCACCACCCAACTAAGTTGGACAGTGGCTAGCTTAAGATCATATATGGGCATGCTTGCATATAAACTTTTTCTTATTTTATATATAAGAATAAAAAGACAATTCCTGGATTCAATTGTAGTGTTCAGTCCCCATTTTGGTTCTCAACCCTACTTAATTTATTCCCAAAAGAAATGTATAACAGGGAGGATTAGGCATGAAAATAGATGGAAGGTCATCTCTGGAAAAGCTCCAAAAGTAACAAACAGAAAATAGAACAAACTAGATTCCATCATCTTACACTGATCTGTATAAGCTTTAAAAGGACTACAAAGGCTATTAATATACATGTAGGAGCAGCCCTTCGGCCAAGTAAGAAGCACAAAAGGAACACAGAAAATAAACAGGCCATGTAAGAAGCATAAGAAAAAACAGGAAAACAAACAGAGTTTTCGGGATCTGAACATCTCATCTTCAACCCAAAACCCTAATAGCTGCAAAATCACTACCAGAACAGCACAGAAGCCATTAATAGAATTAGCCAATCATCCCATACCAAAACAAAAAGGGCCACGAGAGGCAGGACATATACACAAAGTTATATTAATACACTACTTTCTTAGTGAAAAGCGCCCTAAAACTGAACCCATTTCCTCCATTCCCAGCGTTGCTCTCTCCATTGCACCTCGATCGGCTCTGCAACTGTGATCCCATTCCCATACATAAAGGCACATTGACGTTCAACACTCGCGCTCTACCTGAATAACAACTGGTCCTCTCTCCCCCAAATTTGATGGAACTATCACTCCTCTGTCCCTCAATAATTTTCTCTCTAATCTTAACACCTGATGAGCCATTGACCGATCGTCGAAGAAGAGGTCTAACAGGGCTATTTCTTCCCAAATGAACCCCTGTGCTACCCCTACTAGGGCTAGTACCCAGCCCCATGTACCCTTTCTTGGGCCTCTGGCCAATGGCCCTTGGGCCGGCGGACTTTGGGCCAACAGGCCTGTCGTTGGCCCCTGACTCTCCCTTGGAGTTGCTCCGGGAGCATGGTGCGCTGACGGCATTGCGCGTGGGCCCTGCCTCCCTCCGTCGGTCCTCATTGCCTGCCGACCGGCTTCGAGAAAAGGGCCAAATGTGAATGTTGAGCTCCGAAGATGAAGAAGACAAGCTCTTCCTCCTCTCAGACTTTTTGCCCTTCTTCTTCTCCTTTGTGTCTGTTTTCTTTTCTCCCATTTTGAAGATATCCGTCCACCTCTTCGAGGGAGTTACCGCCACTGTCAAGTCACTGGCAGAGCCAGGCTGAGGTTCATGGTTTGCTTCAGATTCAAGATGAGCCGCAGGTTTTGGTTTTGAATCAAGCTCTGGTTGAAGTTGGGTTTCAAGATTTGATGCAAAATCAGGTTGAGCTCCTAGTTGGGTCTTTGTTTCTGGTTCAGAATCAGGGTCGGGTTCAGCTTCTAGGGTGAGGAGATGGAGAGGGAGGAGAACGCCATCAAGGAAGAGCTCATCCGCAGATGAGAGATGGGAGGGGGGGAATGCAGGGTTCCGGACCATCCAAAACTCAAATTCTGGAGACGCAGAATTGGGGTTGTAGGAGAGTGAGCGGCGGGGACTCTGCCGCCCTCCTCTTTCTCTCCTCCCTCTTCCTGGCGAGGAGAGCGAGTGGCAATAGCTCTGGCAAACTTGCCTTTCTCTCCTCCCTTCTCCATGGCGGAAGGAGGGAGAGTGAGAAGGGCTCTCCCACCCTTCAGTTTCTCCCCCGGGATCTACTCCCCCTGCATCACAGGAGAAAGAAAGGCGAGGACCAACCCACTCTTCATTCTCACTCCTCTCTTCAACAGAGAAGGAAGAAGAAATCCCCTCCATGCTTCAAGAGGTGAGAGAAAAGAGATAGGAGGAAAGATAGAAAGAGGAAATGCAATTGCAATGAATGAAGGGATTGAATGAGCATGAGAGGTGAGACAGAGAGAGAAGGGTTGGTGGGTGGGTTTCATTGAAGTGCTCTAAGTATGAATGGATGATTCCAGCCAAAAAAAAAAAGAAAAAAGAAAAAAAAAAAAAAGAAGGGATGAATCCAACACACAACCTTTTGGTGATGTCATATGGATGGCTCTAACATTCATGGCGCTCCACACACTTGAATCATGCCCTACCCTTGGGCGTTGACATGCCTTTCCTTTTTTTCTCACACTCAAACTCATTTCAATTGTGTGATGAGACACTACACCATGATATGAACCATTGGTGTATAGTGACTGTACACAATTGGTACCCGAGAAGAACCCTAATCTCTGCCTTTTCTTATTGGGAAGGAACAAAGGTTGATGATGTAAGTTCACCCAAAGAAAACAATGGGTGATGATAGTGCACATTACTATTACTGTTGCTATGATAGTGAAATTCTAAGGCTACCCTGTACCCAAGAAAATGCCTTCAAAAAAGTATGTTCACATCATGTGAGTTGGTATGCAACTTTTTTTACACCGATTAGTCTCAGCACATTTTTTCACACCAATAGGAAGTAGGTGTCAATTGGTTGGAAAAAACTCCGTCATTTTCATCACATGCAGGGTTCTTTTCATATTTATTTATAAAGTTTAGAGCATAAAAAATAGTATAGATCGACAAATCTATGAAAATCTTGAAAATTAATTGTTCAAAGAGAAATGATCTTATAAGACATTTCTCCACCCATGTGTAAGATCTTAAAAGATTATCATTAAATTTGATACCGATCTATAAAAAAATCAAATCTCAAGTCTCGCATCCATGTAATAATTTTTTTAAAAATTCGTGTTAAATTTAATGATGATCATTTAGAGTCTTACACATATGGGTAAGAGAGAGACTTGTAAGATCAATACTTTTATTAAAAAATATCTTACAAAATATACTATTTTTAAAATTTAAAAATCTATTTTTTTTATCATATTCATCTTCTTGATGTACAGATGATTAATTTGAAGATATTGGAAAAACAACCTCAAATTTTTTCGCTTGAGAATATTATGCTCGAAAATACAACGCTTGACACCTGCTGTTTGCTTTCCATTGATATTAAATGATGTTCTTAGATCCCTATCCTTGCGTCTTATTGCTTTAACGTTTTGTAGAGTAAGTGGAATCATTACACCCTGACTTGAAGCAGCAGTAACTATTGCAGACAAAGGTTAAAAACATGTGATGTGGCTCAAAAGGAAATTAGAAATAGGAATAATTGTGATGGATAATGTATGAGCGGGAGGTAATGTGGAATAATCCATCGCAGATGTGATTGGATGGCACTGCAACTCTAGCCCAGATGTTTGAGAATATTTAGAGAGAGAAAGAGACGATATTATAAAGAGAAAGAAGATTTTAATTTTAATTTTAATTTTAATGGGATTGATTGTGAGAAGAGAAATCTGATTGGTCGAGCGGGAGGATAGAGTTTTATTCCAAGTAATTTGGGTTGGGCATTTGGAGCCAACCGCAGAGGAGAGAGAGAGGAATTTATGTTTTTTTAGAGAGAGAAAGACTTTTATGTTTTTTAGGTTTGGTTTATGGGTGGAGTTGGGGTCCGAATGATGGGTCATGTGCGGTTGCAAACATCGGTCTCTTCATTAATGACAGTGGGTCCCGCCATGAGAGCAACGGTCACATGGTCACTGCCCCCACTCTTTTACATAGATTGCTCCTTGCTGGTTGCTTGCCAACCCAGTACAGTGAGAGAAGTAAAGAGGCCCTATGCCCTAAGAGAGAGAGAGAGAGAGAGAGGGAGCAAAAAGTAGAGAGAGAGTAAAGAGACCCTATACCCTAAGAGAGAGCTAAAAGTAGAGAGAGAAAGTAAAGAGGCACCCTACCCCAATGCATCCTGTCTCTAGGGAGGGCATCCCCTACAAAGCACAAATACTTGCACTTTGTGTGAATCCTAAAACTAATCTGTTTCTTCCTTCTAGTCATCGAAATAAACCGGAAAAAATGGTAAGGGGATATTCCCTAGTTCAAAATACTTATTGGAAATATTATTTTGGTTTAAAATTTTAAGAACCGTATAAGTACTACTAGATGATTAATTTTCAAAAGAAAAATTTTTGAGGTTTTTGACACCTAGATCTAGCTCTTAAAAAATTCGGATTGTCTTTATTCAGTATTGGCATTATCTTTTTTCTAGTATGTAGAGAGTTTATTTCGGATTTTTTTTTTTTTTTTTTTGAGATTAGTTCATGGGTTGTAGAGATTACATCCCCCAAATTTGAGATGTGATAAGCATTCCTAACATGTGTTATATCTGAGGAGGTAAATGAATAGTACACCCCCACGCGAGTATGAAATCTTTTGGCTAGTCTTTGTTTTATGGATGCTGAATTAGATTCTTAATTGGAATCACTAAGAATAGGTTGGGTGGAGGACTAATTGCGTGGTTCTGGCATAATTAGAGAGAGAGAGAGAGGGTCCACCTTGACTTTAAATAAATACATCTGGATTCCCACTTTTCTCTATCTCAATATTTATAAAAATACTTCTTGATTTCTTCCCTCGCTTATTAGTAAAAAGGAAAAGGTTTATATGGGGCCGAGGTTCTAAACAATCAAATTAGAGCCCACCTCAAAAATTTCACTAGAGGAAGTTGTTTTGATGTTCAAATATCCTCAAATTGATCATCTTGACATCAAGATGTATGGACATGAGAAAAAAAAATAGATTTCTAGTTTTGAAAATAGATATTGGCCTTTTTGGAACATCAATTTCCAAAATTTTTAAGTTTTCATAGATCAGCTCGATCTACACTATTTGTGAAGCTTTAAATTTTATAATTAAAAATATTATAAGGCTATCGTAAAGATTTCCAGTATTGAAACCGCATTTCTCGACACTATTTGAAGGTGCATTTTACTTTGATTGTTTAGAGCCTCGGCTCTATAAAAACTACACCCAAGTAGAAATGATTAAATTAGCATTAAAATACAATAACAGGAAGAGACCATCTCGAATTCAAATATTTAGAGAAGAGCCACCCACCAAACACCTCAATCCCACCTTACCCATGCACCCGTTCACGAGGCGCCCATCCAACTAGGAGGAACATGGACACTCTTTTCTATTCCTTGGGTCTAGCGATGCTTGGGGTAGGTAATGGGTACTTGGAGAGAGAGAGAGAGAGAGAGAGAGAGAAGTTATATGCAACATGTGGGTCGGTAATAGTATTTCAATGGTGTTCCCAAATAATTATGTATTTAGGAATTTTCAAAATTAAAGCATAGTTTAGAGTAAATTTTTGGATTCTTTTTAAGGCACCCACCTCAAACAATCAAAGTAAGAGGCGGATTAAAATTTCATAGGAAGATGCAATTTTGGTGTCAGAAATTTTTAAAAGACCTGAAAATTCTATTTACAACCCTAAGTATAAAGTTTTAGTTAAAAAATGGTACCAATCAAAGAAATCTATAAATACTTGAAATTTTTGAAATGGACAGTTTAACCAATATGTTATAAAATGAGATCTTTTAAGGCTTGAAATTCTTTTTTTTTTTTTTTTTTCTTGTTCATATTCAAGATGATCAATAAAAAGGTCTTCCAAGGTTCGAATTTCGTCCAATGGCTTTTTGAGGTGCATCTTCCCTTTACAACTTAAGTTGACACATTATATAGACTTTTTCCTTTTTAATGTGCCAAAAAACAACCTTCTCCATGGCTTTATAAGTGAGAAATGTTTAGGTACCCTAGCCCCATTGGGGCTTAAAGGAGAAGTGGATAGGGGGATAAAGAAATTTTAGAGAGAGAGGAACTCTTTGAGAAAATAATTGTGCCCCACACTTTTTATTTATGGTGATTATTTCATTATATAGATAATGATAATACAATTGTGTAACATACACTTTCTGATCTTGTTACATACACTAAATCGATCAAATCAGGCCTGAAGTACTTGCTTGAGACCATCGAAAGATCTTTTCAATTTGTAGATATAATTTAGATATTTTGAGCTCATAAATCCAAGAGTCCATAAATACAAGTTCCTTTAGAAAGACATGCATAAATGCATTGTTCACATCAATCTATTTGATATGCTAGTGTCGCACAATAGCTATGGTGAGCACAATCTGAATATTAGCAGCTTAATAACAGGAGTGGATGATTAAGAGAAATCGATTCAAGGAACTTGATTGTCTCCTTTAGCAATTAGTTTGGCCTTCAGTCTTTCTAAACTACCATCAGGTTTTAATTTAGTCTCATAAACTGAACAACAACAACTAACAATATTCATACTTAAAAGATATGAAACTAGCTCCAAAGGCAGAACTTGAGATTGCTGCTATAGATGGGAGAAACCAAGGTCTTTGAGTACCATCTTGAGATCTTGGAACCATGTGATGACGATGATGCTTAGAGGTATTGGGTGTACTTTTAATCTTATGCAAAGGCTAGATATATTCCAATGAACGCTCAATAAGGGTTGAGGTGCGAAAGCATGATGAATGAATCATTTTGAATAGCCTTTGCCTTTGAAGATATATTTCTTAGTCCCTATACATGACTAAGTGTGTTCTAACAAATGCTTGATTGGAGAAGTCAAATATGCAGCAGAGTCGGTAACGCAAGCTGGATGGCTGTCTTAGCAGATGGTCAAATATGTCTTAATAGCACCAGCTCAAATGTGTCCTTAAAGATATTCATGTCGATGCTTTATATGCCTTAAAGTCCAAGAGTGGTATAACTTGGGCAATATTTGGACTAGGCTTAACCCATATCCATATCTTCCATTAGTTGAGATATGCCATACTAACACCCTAGAACTTCATATTCTGGAATCAAGCAGAGACTTTTGGGGATTCAGAATTCGATGCATCATAACCCTCCCCCTTGAAGTTTCATATCAATCGACAGTTTAAAGCTTCCTAGAGATGGCTTAAACCACCATCCTCATATCTCGATAGTTTAAAACTGCTCGGAGATGGCTTAACCCATCATCCTCATACCTTAGTAGTTTAAAGCTTCCCGAAGTTGGCTTAACCAATCATCCTCGTACCTCAGTAGTTAAAAGCTACACATAGATGACTTAACACATCATCCTCATATCTCGGCAGTTTAAAGTTGCCCGGAGATGGCTTAGCCGATCATCCTCATACTTTGATAGTTTAAAACTGTCCGAAGATGGCTTAAACCATCATCCTCATATCTCAACAGTTTAAAGCTGCTTAGAGATGACATAAACCATCATCCTCATACCTCGGCAGTTTAAAGATGCCCGGAGATGACTTGACCTATCATCCTCATACCTCAACAATTTAAAGTTGTCTAAAGAT